TCTGTTGCTCTTTTTAGATGGAAAAGTAACGGGTGCGTTCGTGACATCTGTTTCATCCGAGCCATCGGCGACTATCATTGGAACTGAACAACATCAGTTTATGGAAGAAAATGGCACCTTCTCGAAGCTCAAGGTTTATTTTTGATTGTTTCATTTTTGTCCTGTTAAATTCCATGCATTCATATCAGCGCACTTTTAACATAGGGGCTTTAGCAGTGCTGGCTCTTTACACATGGCAGTTTCGACATTCGTATCGACAAACATGTAACAGGAACATTTCTGGCTTCCTCAAGTGCATTAATTTCGGTAGTTTTCATGTATTGAAAAATCTTCGACAGTTCTGTGCTGCTGTTTCATTGACACTCTTCGGTTGTATTAGTTTCGACAGTTTTTTTTTCCTCCTTTCAACATTGTTGTATAGCCACCAGCTTGCTTCTGTATCACCCTCAACTGAGAGATTTTGCTCTTGGCATGTGCTACTTTTTGTGCGATTTTTGGTTGCTTTCGCATTTCGTGGTGGGTGAACATCCAGGGTGAACATTCTTTTCATTCGTCTCATTTTATTGGTCTCGTAAAGTGGGAGAGTTTTGACGTGAAACAAACACTTACAGAACAGTGCAAGCGAGAAAAATGCTGGTAATTTTGACGATGAAAAAGAATCAGCGGCTTTTGCTAGCAGTCGCAGTCCTATGAATAGTTTGGTTAGTGATTATGCAGTTACAAGGTGATGGGGGTTTGTCTTCCTCTGTACTCCAGTACCAGTTTACCATAATAACAAATCAGCGATAACAAATCAGCAATAACAAATTCTAGGTTGCATGTCAAGAGCTCCCAGACAGTCAGATGGCGACTACTGATGACGGGGAAGAAAAAGAGCAAGAGGAGCAGGTGGAACTGAAGCTGGGGCACGTTAGCAAAGCTACTTTTGATGAGCAGGAAGATAAAGCGTCAAGATCGGAATCGGAAGATGTCGAGAAGCATAGTCGCACGACTACCGAAGACGAACGGGAACAAGGCAGGGGTTCGGTACAAAAGGGATGTGATCGTGGTGATGGGCATGAAACGTTCAGCGAAAGGTCAGATGGACCTA